GAAGTCTGCCGCCGTCCCTGCCACGCACCTGTAAATTATCTCCTCTACAAATACCCATGCAGGGAAAGTTTCAATTAAGATAAGTAGATTGTATTGAGAACTGTGTTCTTTGAAGTAATGTAGTTAATCGCCTGTTTGATTTCGGCTTGCGAGAGAGTAATAACGTTGTATTCAAGGCTCCATCAATCACCCCAGCAGATGTAAGGCTCCAGACACTGACGGAGGGGAAACGTGAGAAGCTTCCCCCTATAACGCAGGGCCTCTTTCCCATAATGTAAATACTCAAGCGCGGGGGCGGGCGGATGGAGTCGGAAAGGAAGGTGCAGCGCGCTCAGCGTGGAATCCTATACGCACACTACTTCCGAGTAGGCAGATCCAGGACTACGCAGCTAAAAGAAGGGCAAGTCCGCCTTCTGTGGGACTTTTGCGTAGGATGGTATCCCTCCCCCGATTCATAAGTCATGTTGCTTTGTAGATAAACCCTTTAATACGTAACGCGTGAATAGGCCAAACGCGTGTTACGTACAAAGATACACGTACAGCGCAAAGCCTCGACTCGGAGGTGTCTCACGGAATTCATTGAAATACTCCCATATATCTGCAATAGGCTTGTCGATCTGGAAAAAGTCAGGAAGGGCGATAGCTGTCTCTCAGTCACAAACTCGTGGTTCCTATCAATTCATGTGTGGAAAGGCCCGAGACGGTGTTTCTACACTTCCTCTTATTTGGGCGCTGAGAGACATGCATCTGCAGGCCTCACAATGACAACAACGGGTTAGATCCAGACACAGCCACTCTTTATAGCAGCCCCGTTAAAGACAGGCAAGCCATGACTCCCTCGCCCCGAGCTCAAGTGACTAATGTCGGTCTGAGACTGTGGTACTTTGAACATCTCATCAGACGACTAGACCCACTGAAAAAAGGCCTAATACAAGGGAACGACGGCAGTAGGAAAAGAGGAAGACAGAAAATAAGATGATTAACTATAAAAGGAGCCAGCTTTTAGCTTGCAAGACCTGAGTGAGTTAACGGTGAGACCATTTTGGAGGCCATACATTGGTCAGGTCGCTATAACTCGAAATGACTCGGCGATGTATGATTAACAACAAACCATAACTCACTCAGGATCAAACTCAGTAACATAACTTAAAATTGAGATGATCAGTACGCTTGTTTGGGGATCAGGCGAAATTCCCCCTTCCCATGCTTCTTTGTGCCACAAAATGTAGCCTTTTGATAAGAGTATGGCGATTGATTTTCATTCGCTACGTCGCCGATTGGCAAGAGTGTTTACTCGCCTATGTTCTTTATTACATTCATTAAAAAGCAAAACCTCAGGCGGAAAGAGGCTGGAGGATCTGCAAGCCTCATTTTTTTAAAAAAACGAAAACAAAAACCCCCACACACTCCCGTTCATTTTATTTTCCACATGAGAGACGAAGCTTTTGCAAAGACAAAAACAGCTTCAAGACGCCTTCCACGTTTAAATAATTCAAATTGCAATCCTGGATCCATTTTACCAGAGGGTGAAAAAAGCAAAAGGAGGACTGAACGCTATGGGATTTACTCCCGAGGAGACATACATAGGATTGCTCTGTTGTTGTTTAGTCGTTAAGTTGTGTCCCTCCTGTCTTCCTTCCACTACCTCCGGGAGTTTGGTCAAATTCATGTTGGTAGCTTCAGTGACACTGTCCAGCCATCTCGTCCTTTGTCGTCCCCTTCTCCTCTTGCCTTCACACTTTCCCAACATTAGAGTCTTT